AGAGCAGCAGTTCACTGGGGAGCTCAAGAAGAACATTTTTTAAAAAAAAAAAAAAAAACTATATCTGAAATAAGCTTCAGAGGATTTAAGGTATAAAATTGACAGTAGTGGAGAATGAGGCACTTACATGAAATTGTTATTAATGCTTCTTGCACGCGCTTGCGGGGCCCCCCCTGCCACTACACCATCCAGAGGCAGCCCGTGCAGAAGTACAGCTACGTGACGCCCTGCTGCCCCCCCGTGCAGCCCTATTGCCCCCCGGTGCAGCGCTACTGCCCCCCGGTGCAGCCCTGCTGCCCCCCCGTCCAGCGCTACTGCCCCCAGGTCCCCTACTGTCCCCAGTACACCAAGAACATCTGCAAGCTGCCACCGAAATGCCCCAAGTACTAACAGCAGGATCCGACCCCGGCACCTGGACCCACCAGCTCGCTCCTCACCCAAAGCCTTGAGCTCATCTCCTCGCCCATCGCTTCTCTGCAAGCAAACGCTTTTAACCACGTGGTATTAGGATGAAGTCTCTCGGTTCAACGAGCTTTGAGCTTCTTTCTGCCAACGCACGGCACGCTGTCCGCTGGGAATAGTTTCTTTCTTGCTCTGCTGCTTCATTCTCCAGCAAGACAATAAAAATTATATTTCAAGCCTACCTAACAGTTCTGGATGTTTTTAGTCACCACTCCATCATATCTGCTTGTCTAGCGGCATCTTTTTTTCCCCTCGTGGCTTTAGAGTCATGCTTTAATCACTGGAGAAAATAGCTAAAGTAGGAGGAACGCCAAGGAAACGTGAAAGTAAAGGAGAATGCCTGGGGCACCCACCAGTGATGCCAGGAGTGCCACGCCGCACGCAGAGGGCTGTGGGAAACACATTGGGTTAATTCCTGGTGAAACCGAATATTTGCCCTGAGCTCAGCAGATGCAATGGGGGGTTCAGAGTTACAGCCGGGGGCCCGACCTGCACGCTCATGTTTTTACCGCAGAAGCGATCTTTAAAAGCCGCTGGTATATTTGGAAACAAAACAAAGCAAATCCTGCAGGGTTTGGAACCTGCCTCCGAACACCCTCAATTAACCAATTTCTAGAGTGTAAAATGAGAGAAGGTTTCCCCAGTGTGATTCATCCATCCCAGGGCAGGCATGGGAAATAAGCTGGATGAACAGAGCTCTGCAAGTACCCAGTAAATGACTAGTTGGTATATAAGTAATTGGAATTAGTTATTTATAGGTTATGGAGAAAATTGTCAGTATAGAGGAACAGCCTGCTAAAAAGGAAAAGTTGCAAACAGGATGCAGAGAGCAATTAATTACTCACCTACATTCAAGTTGTTGCCATTGCTAAGAGATGGCTCATTTTCATGCGACCCCTGGCAGCTGCATTAAAAACTTTTCCTTACTCGTTCTTCACCTCTCTGCGGTTTCCTACTGAGTCAATAAGGCTTTCTGTCCTTAGGAGGGGCTTTGTCTTCAAGTTCACTTTCCCTTACTGCCCCAGGCCTCCAACTTTCTACTTTGTGACTAATCACAGCACATTTTATTTCCTCTTCTTTTTCCAAGTGCGATGGAAGGCACACAACCTCTGGACTAGTTACGCTTTCTGCTGTGCTCAAGCTTGAAGTTCCCGTTAACTTGAGGATGAGAAATGGCAGCAATAATGGGGAAACAAGAACAAAACTCTTTTTTTTTTTTTTCCTGTTCCATTCCATGTTTTTGTCAGCCCTGGAGAGGTTTGACACCTGGAACATTAAAGACCAAAGGCTCTATGAATGCTTTACCTCATTAGAATATTTTTTTTAAATCAGAAACCATAGACATTTGGCAAGAGAAGTCCTCTATACCTAACGCTGTAGATAGCTTAGAGGAACATTTCTGCTCTGCTGAGTACATGTTAAATAACGTAACAGCGGATTTCCACAACCAGGACAAACTCTGAGCAAACCCCTAAGGATTTAATGAGGAGGAATTTGCCTTAGCTGTTTCACAGCGAGGATTGCTTCACTGCATCCATAATTCCCAAATCCAAACAAACAGAGCGGTGTCACCCCGGGCATCTTACGGAGCCTGCTAAGTTCATTCCCTCAATGCAAAATATAATTGGGATCTTTTCTTTCGTAAAAACTCCTCTTGTAAAATCAGTTATGTGTCTCCCAGCTGCCCGTGGATCTGTCTCTAGACATCCCTGATGTTCACATCCAACTCTAGGGGCAGGAGGGGGTTTTTGACTCAAAGGGACCGTGGGTGCACCAGGTCCGTACAAAGTCACACAGAAAACTGGCTCCATTTGACCAACATCTCTCTCTTTACCTCACTGCTCAGGATCCCCCACATTTCTAACATCAGCGCCACATGCTAATTCTCCACAGGGTCAGAAATCCCCTCCTGGCCATCTCCCAGGTTGCCATGAGCCTCCTTTATTGCTAGCTGAGCTGCAGGTACTCAGCTGGTGTAAATCTCTATCACTAATTAGATTATAATGGGTGGCAGTGACCTTGTCTAACCCGGTCATTAGCATGAGGCCAAACTCAATAGGAAATGAAGCCTATGTTTCAGCAGACAAGCACAATGACCTTGGAAAGAGCTTTCCAGGAGAAGTGGTGACTTCATGGTCCTTTGAATCCTTCAAAGCAAGACTGGGTAGCTTTTTAAAAGGTGGGATGCAGGCAAATAAAAACAGTAGCTGCCCAACAGAAACTGAGTGGAAACAGGTGCTTTATGTCACCCGAAGTCAAAGTGAAGGTTCACAATGACCTACCTAAAGGGGGCCTACAGGAGAGCTGGGGAAGGACTTTTTACAAGGCCATGTAGTAACAGAACGAGGGGGAATGGCTTCAAACTGGAAGAGGGGAGATTTAGATCAGATATTAGGAAGAAGTTTTTCATTCTGAGGCTGGTGATCCCCTGGGGCAGGTTGCCCCGAGAAGCTGTGGCTGCCCCATCCCTGGAGGTGTTCAAGGCCAGGTTGGACGGGGCTTGGAGCAACCTGGGCTGGGGGGAGGTGGCCCTGCCCATGGCAGGGGGTTTGGAACTAGGTGATCTGCAATGTCCCTTCCAACGTAAACAATTCTACTATTCTATCTTCTCCTCAGCATCTGTGATCTGGGTCACACCGTGTTTCTGTATGAACAGAAAGAGCCTGAATCAACTCTCCTTCACCTCAGCAGAGATCAGGGTGTCTCCAGTGAAGCTGTACGCTGTAGGGGAGGGTGGTGGAGGGTCCTTCGGTGCTCTGCTCCCACAGGTGCGCAGCCCTGCAGCAGCAGGAGCTGCCCTCCTCCTCGGGGTGATCTCAGAAACAAAACATTTAATCACGTCAATCACAGTCCCGGGTCCCGTGAATTCCTTCTGACCGGAGAGAGATAATTTTTAAAAAAGACGTAGTTTAATTTGAAATCCTAAAAATGCTCAGGACATCATGTGAGGCCTTCAGGCTCTCCTGCAAAATAAATATTAACATCATTAATGAATAATTGCAACATGATCATTTACATCAGCACTAATGACTGCCAATGGGTGACTGAGAACTGAGCATAGAGTTATTCCAAAAATAACATCCGTAGGTGGATCTTCCATTACTCGAGGGCATACTAGAACTTAAAAAAATGGAATAGGAATTTTGCAGATCAAGTTATGCTAAGCAGAAACAGCATGTAAAAATTCCAGAAAAGTTTTGTGTTTTGCTTTTACTTAAAGAGGTCAAAAAGGAATTGGAAAAACACAGACTCTGATTTGACCCAAACTCCTTGGTGAATTAGCGCAGTCCTTTGCACCTAAAATTTCCGACATTGGCAAGGCCAATGTGTTTTCCCATGCACGGATGGGATGAGCATGGCATAGGACATCAAGAACTTTCTGTTACATTTTTGCCCTTTTGATGACCAGACACCCCAAAGAAAGACATCGGGATTCACCATTTCTGCATTCAACACCAAAACATGGGGCCATGGAACTACATTTGCTGGAATTCTATTTAAAAGAATCATATCGAGGAGTGACTGACGTCCAGAAGGCCTCTGCATGCCTCTGGAATCCACTGCTCCTCAATCTTAATTATGATTTTTATGTTAATGGAGCACTCTCTAGCTCTGAACAAGCCACGCAGCATCTCCGTGTAACAGCGTTACCATATGCGAAATGAGCAGAAACATACCTTTTAAGCAGTTCATAAACATCACACAAGAATTAACTTGACATTAAAAAATTGTAAAAAATTTACCGAACAAATTGCTAATAACACAAAATTGAGGGGTTGGTCAAAAACAATGAGGCAAAGACTAAATAGATGAAGGGACATTCAACAAATAAGTATAGGCTTAGTGCGTAAATCAGGAATTGCTGTGGGGTACCTCATTTCCGGCAGGACAATTTCGAGCTATATAAAAGGTCTCCCCGTCCCTTTGCTCCTCACTCAACTGAACCACTCAGTTAGCACGGTAAGTGTTACCTACTGGTAGTGTTCCTTGATAGCAATGGTTCTCATTTGGTTTTGGTCAAGCAATGAATTGAAATGTGTCTTTGTATCTGATCTTTGTAGAGCGTTGGACTAGATGACCTTCAGAGGTCCCTTCCAACCCAAACTGTTCTATGAGACTATGATTCTCTGATCTGCAGCTCGCTCTGAAGTCCAGATTTTCCTTGCCTGTTGGGATATCGCTTTTTGCAAAAGACAGTTGGTGGAGAGAGCACAGTGGGAAATGAGCTTCTTGGGATGAAAATTTAGGGAGTGATCTTCATGGATGAGCACAGGAAAGTTAGTTCCCAGGACAGTTCAAAAGATGCACAAATATCGCTGGGATGGTGATGGGTGGCTTGATTTTAAGGATCATTTTTGCAACTCAAGACAAGTAAATCGGAAGCAGTGCATGATATGGCTATCACCCATGGGCCGAGACAACAGCATTTGTATGCCAGAATGAAACATATCTATATACTTGGAAAGATGGGTTCTATCTGAAAGTCCCTTGTGTTTCAGATCCTCACTCCTTCCACCTTCGACTACTCTACAAACAACATGTGCTCCAGTGGATGTTGCTCTACCGGATGCTGCTCCATCGTGAAGAGCAAAACGGTGTGCTGCAGCCAGCCATGCCAGAAGACCATCTGCTGCGAACCGTGCCAGAAGACCATCTGCTGCAGGCCATGCCAGAAGACCGTCTGCTGCAGCCCATGCCAGCAGTCCTGCTGCTGCGACCCATGCCAGAAGCCCTGCTGTGACCCATGCTGCTGTGACCCATGCCAGAAGCCTTGCTGTGACCCGTGCTGCTGCGACCCATGCCAGAAGCCTTGCTGTGACCCGTGCCAGCAGTCCATCTGCTGTGACCCATGCCAGAAGCCCTGCTGCGACCCGTGCTGCTGTGACCCATGCCAGAAGCCCTGCTGTGACCCATGCCAGCAGTCTGTCTGCTGTGACCCATGCCAGAAGCCTTGCTGTGACCCGTGCCAGCAGTCTGTCTGCTGTGACCCATGCCAGAAGCCTTGCTGTGACCCATGCCAGCAGTCCGTCTGCCAGAAGCCTTGCTGTGACCCGTGCCAGCAGGCCATCTGCTGTGACCCATGCCACCTGCTGTGACCCATGCCAGCAGTCCTGCTGTGACCCATGCCAGAAGCCTTGCTGTGACCCGTGCCAGCAGTCCGTCTGCTGTGACCCATGCCAGAAGCCTTGCTGTGACCCGTGCCAGCAGTCCGTCTGCTGTGACCCATGCCAGAAGCCTTGCTGTGACCCGTGCCAGCAGTCCGTCTGCTGTGACCCATGCCAGAAGCCTTGCTGTGACCCGTGCCAGCAGTCCGTCTGCTGTGACCCATGCCAGAAGCCTTGCTGTGACCCGTGCCAGCAGTCCGTCTGCTGTGACCCATGCCAGAAGCCTTGCTGTGACCCGTGCCAGCAGTCCTGCTGTGACCCATGCCAGAAGTCCTGCTGTGACCCGTGCCAGCAGCCCATCTGCTGTACCAAGGTGTGCCAGAAGTCCTGCTGCTGCTGTAGCCATCCTTGCCCACGACCCTGCTGCTGCTGCGGCTGCTACCCCTGCTGCTGCTCTGGATGTCTGTCTTGCTGCTCCTACGTGGTGAAGAAGAAGCCTGTTGTGGTGTGCTGCAGCCCCGTGCAGTGCTGTTCTCCCATGAGGAAGTATTGCATACCCATCCAGCAGTGCTGCAGCACCATCAAGAAGTGTTGCTGAGCCAGCTCTGGGTAGCAAAAGCAGCTCTGCCCACTCCCATCTCTGGCGTGCAACAAGAACAGGCACAAGGAGATGAAAACCTGCTCATTTGCTTCTGGTTCACAGGATGACGGAGTAAACTCCTAGCAATTTTCTTCTTGTTTTCAAGCTTAAGCTGTCTTCTTCTTTCTGTCCTTTCATTATCGAACGTCTGCAACGCACTTGAATATATCACCCACTGTATAAGGCAAAGAGCTATTAGATATTAGCGGGGCTGTTAATTCTCTTCTTGGTGTATGGGACTTAGGATACCTTTGCTGTTATGTGATCATTCTTCATTTTCTCTCTTGACTTGTAGGCAATAAAATTTAGCATTAAGCAAAATGCAAAATCTTGTCTTCTGGTTGTTCTTACATCGCTTTGTCCAGAATGTGTCCTCATTCTGGTGCCATTTTCTGTGCCTTTGGCCAGGCTTCTGCCGGCTACAGATGTGTCCTATGGCGCAGAAGAACATTGAGGACACAAAGAGCTGCCCAACCATGCTTCCCATTGCCGTAAATCAGGTGATGTCTAACGACACCAAGTAGAGCAGCATGATCCCTTCTTGCATTTACTGATCATCTGCCTCAGTTAGCTCAATTTTTACTATAAGACTAAATGGTTAAGGTAAATAAACCTCAAAGGACACAGACTGAATGAAGTATGCATAATTCCACCATCTGTAAACACACCATTCCATAAGATGCACAGGAACCAATCCCTGATACCGGAATAGGAATTTCAATAGGTACTGAAAGGGATTCACTACTCACTGAATAGCAGGCACCATCTTCTTCCACTGCCATCTTCAAAACTAAAATTTCAGAAAACACCGTATATCAGTGAATTATTTTTATGCGAGCAGAGATTTTCTTATGCAGCGTTCCTGGATTACAAGCAGTGGAATGAAACCCAGGTGTTAGCATACAACTTACAAGCTTCATTCCTAAAATAGCACACCCATGAGTCAACAATACCTTTTCTACCTGACTGGGACTTCCTTTACTATTAAAATTCAGGACTCAGCTCTGAATTGCATGTCTCAGGAAAATGCCTTGAGCACTGTCTTGATTGCTTCCCTCAACCAAATCTTCAACGCATACAGAGTCTGCATTAGAATAATCTTCTCTGCCACGTTAGACTCTTCTGAAAACATCACTCAGGTCTTCAGGGGTTTTTTATTAATAGGTAAATCAGGTACCATACACTGGCAGAAGGATATCCAATACCATAGCAGACCAGACCATACCATACCATACTATATCAGAAGTGCATTCTGTTAAGGAAATTTTGTGAATGTTAATTTCATCATGTGTTGGAAAAGCTGCCATGACAGATTCCTCCCCATTCACAAAGGTACTGCAGCTCTCAAATTCACATAACCACCATGGAAGCTTACAAAGTCATCATGCCATGACATGGCATGTCATGTAAAAGGGTTTTAGTGTAGAAGATGTTATTTCTGACCCAACTATACATGAAATTCCAGCATCTCCTCAAGATCTGTATAAGACCCAGAGTAGCAACAGCCTTGTAGAGTTAACATCCATTTCTAAGGGAGACATGGACCTGGTGGAGCGGGGCCAGAGGAGGGCCACCAAGAAGATCCGAGGGCTGGAGCCCCTCTTCTTTGAGGACAGGCTGAAAGAGTTGTGGGTGTTCAGCCTGGAGAAGAGAAGGCTCCGGGGAGACCTTATAGCGGCCTTTCAACACTTAAAGGGGGCTTACTAGAAAGATGGGGACAGACTTTTCAACAGGGCCTGTAGCAATAGGACAAGGGGGAACAGTTTTAAACTAAAGGAAGGAAGATCCAAACCAGATAGAAGGAAGACATTTTACACCATGAGGGTGGTGAGACACTGGAACAGGTTGCCCAGAGATGTCCCATCCCTGGAAACATTCCAGGTCAGGTTGGACGGGGCTCTGAGGAACCTGATCTAGTGGAAGATGTCCCTGCTTATTGCAGGGGTGTTGGACTAGATGGCCTTTAAAGGCCATCCATTCTATGATTCTAACACAGGGATCATCTTGGCCAATATGGCGACAATAAAGCCTGATAAAAAGGCAATGAATGATTTATTCAGTGGATGACATGTTTGAGGGTTTACACAAAGAAGGCATTACTTCCTGCAGGAAGGTATCTGGCTATTATTGCGTGACCAAAACAATGCTCCCCTAGGGAGAATTCCAGAAGACACCCAACGTCATAGGAGGTCATGTTCGCATCTTGGGAAGAAACTACGTGTCCCAACCACCAGGGATCACCTGCCACCACTCCAGCCTCACACTGAGAGTCTGCTGAACATGATGGCAGACTTTATTTGCCATGAATAGATGCTGTCTCAGCATCTTGGGACTGTCATCTTATATTGGTGTCCCCTCTCATCAAATGAATACTCCATCAACACCTTCTTCTCACGTGGAGCTGTCCTGGCTCTGCACGTGGCCACAATACCTTCCCTCATCCCCAAGCCTGTTTCATAACATCTGCCTTGACTCGAACCATCTTATCCATTGCCTCCTGACTGTTCAGTCAAGCTGTACATGCACAGCAGCCTTGGTCTTAGCGCACTGCAGACAAAACAATCATAAACAATGGCTGGAGAAGTCCTGTTGGGTGTCTGAACTCAGAGCACCTGTGGGCTCCCAAGGTACAGGGGAAAGGTATGGAGAAATGCACTCAGGATTGGATTTCCAGTCTTGAACCTCACACTTGCCTACGGTGGCACAGAATCGAGTTGTTAGTGTGAAACACTCAAATGTGATCACCACAAATACCATTAAATACAATCTGGCTTGGTCTCACGGACCTTTGAAATAACCTCAGAAAATGGAGCACACAGAAACAACAGAGAAAAAAAGACAACGTGTGCACTACTGCTATGAAAGTTGCTTAATTTAGGGTTAATCCATCACTTCCATGGGTGAAAATGAAAAAAAAAAATCTTAATAGTTTAGCAGAAATAAAAAGCAGGGGGAGTGAAGACCAAGCACCATAGAGGGAGACCCAAGAACAAGACTGAGAAAGGAGAAACTCTTCAGTCTTAACTTTGACCACACAGCCACCTCTCAGAGGCAGGAAAAAAGGATTCACAGTGACCAATAGTTTCCACTGGTGCCCCAAAATCCCACCCAGGCACAGAGGGGACACATGATCCAAGTTTCCATTTCCAAGTTCCAGGCATGGTTCTCCCACTGCTTCAGTACCCGCCTCCCCCCGGGCACATTGTTAAGTGTCTCTGTGTCTCAAGGTCATTCCTCAGGAGGTGGATGGGAATACCTTACAGCTACCTCCGGTCCCCATTAATGCAAATTCATTAGAAAATTTGCACCTGTTGTTCATATGTGCAACTAATTAGGGTGCAGAACTGAGGTGGTGATCAACCAGAAAGAGGTAAAGATTAAATACCGGAAGACATGTGAGTGGCACACGCTGGGTGATACACAGCAAAGTCAGAATTGCCAAAGAATGCCTCATTTCCAGGGGGGCGGCTTTGAAGCGTATAAAAGGCTCCCCAGCACAGTGGTCTTCATTCACTTACCTTGACTTCTCCTCTCCTGTCCTCACTGGTCAACAGGGTAAGTCAGAGCTTACATTTCATTTGCACTCTACTGTATTTCTCTGTGCTTCTGCACAAAGCCATCCAGGATTTTCTGTACTTTCTGGTTTGGGACCAATTTTGAGAGATTGGTTTGGGGATCCACCTGGGTGGCTTCTTTCTGATGGAACCAGTGCTGGACAGTATGCCAAATGCACCGGTGCCCAAGGCAAAAATGTGGAGAGCTCAGGTACAGGCTGTGGTGGGATTCTGGACAGTAGGGACTTCCCCAACCAGTTTGGGATGGACTTTGGGATAAGCATGCTTTAAGCTGCCTAAACAACTGGGAGATTCAGGCAGAGAAAAAGAGACTGTCTCTGTTCCTTCCAGCTTTGCCTACACTACTACCAACAACATGCCCAACGGGTGCTGCGGTGGAAATAACTACTCCGTGTGCTGCTACAGCACCAAGAAGTCGTGCTGCAAGACGCCCATGTGCTGCTCCCCCATGCAGTGCTGCTGCCCCTCCACCTGCTGCATGCCCATGCAGACCTGCTGCATGCCCATGCAGACCTGCTGCTACACCATGAACAACAACAGAGGCTGCTGCGGCGGTAACCGCGGTGGCTGCTGTGGCAGCTAAACCCACTCGACAAAGTGGCAGGCAGAGCTGCACCACCAGCTGCTTCCCTCCTGGCTCATTCGGTGTCGGACATGGATATGGATATGGACATGGATATGGATACCAACCTAAATGTTCTTCCTCCTTTACTTAGACTGTAGGTCTTCTTTCCTCTTTCTCTGCCTTTAATCACCAACTGCTTGTAACGTGCTTTGAAGTTGCTGCCCGTTGATCAGTGTGATTTTCCTTAGTCCTGCTGTTAATTGTCCTCTTGGTATGCGGGATGCTTAATGCTTTTCATCACTGTTTTTTTTTTCTTCAATCTGTCTGAAAAACAATAAAATCTGTAGCTCATGACCCTGCAAAACTCCTGGTGGTTGTCTGTTTGCTGGCTGGTGCATCCAGAGTGTGTCACCGCACCTATCGAGATTTCTCTGCATTTTCTTCCAGTGTTGGGATGCTGCTGTCTAAAAGGCACTAACTTGGGGGGGGGTTGCCTACACAAAGGAAATCATTGCATCCCTGATGCAGTTCTGAGCTCCTGCATGGGTCTCTTCAAAGACAAGCTGAGTGTCTGGCATCTCTGCGAGCAGTATTTCTTCTCTCACTATAAACCCACAAAGAAATAGGAAGAAAGGTATACAGAAACTTGCAAAGCACGTGAATTTCTTCTGAAACACTTTGACAGGCACATCCCAACTAGGAACGCTCCATGTATTTCAGCCAGATAGAGGTCTATTTCAGAACCTACAGGCAGTCCCCATAAAGAGTTTAACATTTATAAGATGGAGGTCTTGCCTCTGCTCAAATGTCTGGGTTAGCAGATATTGAGTTGAAGTGTTAGGACAAATGGCGAGAAACCTCAAGGAGTGACTGGGTCAGCAAGAGTTGTACCAAAACATAGCACCCAAGGTCTGCACCACAGTCCCCATTCTGTGTCTAATGCCCTTTACCAACTCTGTTTCCACACCGCTTCAGTCCCTTCTTTGCATTAAGACCCATAGCCCACCCGCCAAAGACCACTCGAGTACCTAGGTTACATGAATGGCTGCAATGACTATCAAGGGTGGGAAATACCCACCTACATCATCACTTCTTGCAGTTGCAGGATTTGCCAATGAGAACTTTGCCTCTGGAGGCACAAGTGAAGGGTACCCCTTTGCTTCTGCCCCGTTAATTCCTTGTAAATTAATCAGTTCTCATGGGCAGGCCAACGTATGCCTCTGCAGAGGGGACCTGATGGAAAGGAAATGCCATGCATGTCCTCCTACCCTGCCTGGAGAAGTTGCAATTACATGTTTTGCTTCTCCAGCATTTCGCTTATGGAATTACTCTTATCCCAGGAAAGGCTGGAAAGGAGACAGCTGCATTTATTGCAGGGGCGAAGCGGCACTAAAATCGCAATATCCCCTCACCCTTGCACTGTGCGGAAAGCAAACTAAGGTCCCTGCTAGCATCCTTGGGGCTGGTAGCAGCTCGTCTAGGAGCAGTCCTCTCTGGAGTACCCATGGGATCCCAGGGGATGTCAGGCAGCCAGCAAGGAACTCGCCAGGCAGGCTCCACCATCCTCTCATTAGGCAGCACTCCTCTCAGGATAGTGCGGCGAGGTCTTCAAACGAGAGCTGCAATTTTAGGCCATGGAAAAAATTCCTCCCAAACACCCTGTGTTCCTTCCAGCATTCAGCCCCACAGCGAAGTGCATTGGAGGCAGTGTTGGCGTTAAATAAGCATTCATCCACCCTGGCTCAGTTGCCCAAGGCTCTGCCTTACCTTGACCTTCCTCCTCTCCCTCCCAGAAAATGGTTCCACCTCAGCAACGTCTCTTCCTCCATCACTTCTGAGTCCCTGCCTCCCACTTAGCTCCACGGCCCCAGTTGGGACCAGTTTTCTGTGCTTGTCATATCTCTCCCACCTTCATCTTCCTCTCACCCTCTCGGTCCATGCTGGGCTCCTTCATTTACCTCTTCCAGCACCCACAAAGAGTCCTGCACAGCCTCCAACCCTAAACCCCCCTCCCTCCCCACTGCAGAGCTGGGTGTGGTGGTCCTGCTGGGCGCCAAGGCTCCAGCACACAAGGGGGTTTCGGCTGGATGTGAGGAGAAGCTGCAGGAGGGACATGTTAACTTGCCCATCATGCCCAGTCCCAGAGCTACGGCTCCTTGCACTGCCGCTTGCACAGGCAGTGCTGCTCCTTAACTATTCAGTTAAAATGCCAAATATTCCAAAGAGGATATTCAATTCAGAGTTTTCAAAAATGTTTCTAGGAAAGCGGTCCCAGCAAAGGGACCAGTCTTTTTCCAGCGGTGCCCAGTGACAGGACAAGAGGGGACGGGCACAAACGTGACCATAGGAAGTTCCCTCTAAACCTGAGGAGGGCCTTCTCTGCTGTGAGGGCGGCAGAGCAGTGGCACAGGCTGCCCAGAGAGGTGGGGGAGTCTCCCCCTCTGGAGCCATCCCAAACCCGCCTGGACGCCGTCCTGTGCCACTGCTGGAGGTGCCCCTGCTCTGGCGGGGGATTGGACAAGATGAGCACCGAAGTTCCCTTTCAACCTCTGCCAGTCTGGCATTCTGTGTAATATTGAACATATTTATGATGACATTAGGCTTTTCCTGTTATCAATGAAATTGTAACTGGATTAGAAAGGAAACTCATGTTGTGGTCTATAATGTCTTCAAGTGAAAGAGAGTCTATGACCTAAATGTACAGTGCTTGACACAGATACTGGAACTCTGTGAAAACAGAGCAGGAACTGAAACACTCTTGTGTTAGTTAGTGATGCCCGCATGCCCCAGATTGCAGGATTTGCAAAAATTTATGCAAGCCAAAAGACAAAGATGACTTTGGCATCACAAAGATGTTCTTAGCATGCATGAGGGCAAGATGATCTTGCATGGAGTCACGTGCAGGTGACCGAGACCCAGGAGCCAGCGTGCCTCCCAACACATCCCAAACACATGGTCTCATGGTCTTCTTGCTCCATCCTCACGTGCATGTCCTGTGACCAGGAACGAACATACCTATTTTCACGAAAATTTCCAAATATTTATTTCAAACACCAGTACAATGAAACAGCCCATCACATGCCCGAAAGACGCAACCCAGGGGTTCAGTTTCGGCTCGTACACTGATTCCCCCCCAGCCGCTGCTGAGTAAGTCCCTTAGCATCTTTGGCCGTCACTGTCTGCATTTGTCAAATAGATACAAGGATGCATTTTTTTGGCTCCCTTGCAAGGTTGCAGAGAGGACAAATTCATTAGTATTCATAGAAGCCCTTTGATTATCTGCAGGCTAAACAATTATGAGGCAAAACAAAGGTAGTGATCACAAATAATAAGGCAAAGAGTAAATACCAGAAGACACGTATCGCTAAAAAGTATGGGTTTGGATTAGTAAACAGGGAAACTCGAATGGTCAATGGCTGTCTCACTTCCAGGAGGAAGGTGTCCAGGACTATAAAAGGTCTCCTGGCCCAGCTCACTTCATTCGCTCATCTTCTCTTCACCTCTCCTCACTCTTCAACAGGGTAAGTGAGAACAGCTAAATCTTCCTTCCTTTTCACAAAAGAAAAATGCTATGGATATCTTATAACAGTACCCGAGTATAACTGGGTATCTGGACTGGCGCTTTGGCTGAAACTGGGCTTTTACGAGCTGTGTACTAGGAGTTATGGGGGTGAGCTAGAAGGTTAAAGGATGGAGAGGCGATGGGAGTATCAGCAGGGCCGTGCAGAGCAAGGGGACCACGGACATTTCAGGAGGGCCCAGTCCGAGGTCTGTGTGCCCTGTGCTGTGTGATTCTTGCTAAGGCATTAGGGATGCCCTGGGACGAGTAGGTCGGTATCTGCAGGAAAAAAAAACGGAGAGAAGAGTTACAAGGAAGATTTAGTACAAGCAAGACAGCACTCACTTTCAGCTCCTTGAATCTCCGAATTTAGCCCAGACAGAGCTTTGAATTAATTCTGTATTTCCAAATATCCTGCTCGCACTCACAGACAGTCTCTCTCTGTTCCTTCCAGCTTTGCCTACACTACTACCAACAACATGCCCAACGGAGGTTGCGGATGCTGCGGTGGAAATAACTACTCCGTGTGCTGCTACAGCAGCCCGAAGTGCTGCAAGACACCCATGTGCTGCTCCCCCATGCAGTGCTGCTGCCCCTCCACCTGCTGCATGCCCATGCAGCCCTGCTGCTACACCATCAGCAATAACAACAGAGGCTGCTGCGGCGGTAGCCGCGGTGGCTGCTGTGGCAACTAAACCCACTCAGCAAAGTGGCAGGCAGACCTGCACCACCGGCTGCTTCCCTCCTGGCTCATTCGGTCTCGAATATGGATATGGATATGACCCTGAACACTCTTCATCATTTGCTTAGAGACTGTAGATCATCTCTCTTCTTTCTCTGCCTTTAATCACCAACTGCTTGTAATGTGCTTTGAAGTTGCTGCCTGTTGATCAGTGTGATTTTCCTTTGTAAGCGCTAGTCCTGCTGTTAATTTTCCTCTTGGTGTGTGGGACGTTTAATGCTGTTGATGTATCGTACACCCTCTTCTTGCTTTAGTCTCCAATTAGTCATGAAAGACAATAAAAGCTATAAGTTATGACACTGCAAAATTCTGGTATATGTTTATTCATTTATCTTTGTCTTTTAAACTATAGCTCTGATCTGGGACTTTTTTAGCGTTTGCTCAGTTTCTCAATGTAATGATTTTTTCAACTATTTGTCACACTATGGATGACAGCATGCCAGCACATGCAGTAAACTTCTCGGGTCAGTCTTTCATCTGGGGAAAAACAGTGATCGCTAGTGTCAGTATGTGATCTAAGCTGCGGGAGTATCCGCTCGGCCGTGCGGTTTCATGCTCTCTCTCCCCTGCTTATGACTTTGAAAATACACACTTTGCAATCAAAGCGTCTGTGTGGTCCTAAAGCCAGAGCGAAAGGTCTTTTTTTTTTGTTAATGGAAATCTTCCCAGCAAATTTGCTGAGCTTTAAAGCAGTCTTCTTAAAGGGCTTGATATCTT